GGGAACCCAACTGGGGTTTTGCAAGAACAGCAAGTGCTTTTGACTACTGAGCCGCCTCTCCAGCCCTAGGCTATGTGAGTATGGAGGGGATAGAGCCTGGGCATCTCCTGCCCAGAAGCTGAAGCAGGAATGGCACCGAGAGAGGAGGAGGTGGGAGAAGGAGACAGTGTACACCGGAGGCTGTGGAGGGCGGCTTTCCACACACAACAGGGTCCAGGAACCCAGCACTGGCAGCTGCAGGGAGGTGGTGTCATGGGGCCCTGCAAGGGCTGCTGGGTAGCTCTACACAGATGGCATGGGTGACCCACCAGGTGCTGCCCTGTTGTTTAGGAGGCTGACTGCTGCATCTGTGTGGTGAAAACGAGTACAGAACGGTGTGTGTGCTCCTGCGCACCTTTCCCCTTCCATTCAACAAGGTCACCTTGTGACGGGTCTCTCAAAACTGACCCCAGTGAGAAGAATCACACCATAGCCATCGGCAAACGCTGCCGTGGGAGCTCCTGTTCCAGAGAGCCAGGTGTGGGGTGTTCACTGGAACTGCCCGAGTGTAGAGGTTGATGAAGTGAGGTGCGGGAATCTGGGGATCCCTTCCTCCAGTGCATCTGTCATCAGGAGGAACTTGTGGCCTAGGCTTTCCCTTATCACAACGCTGACTCCTCCGAAAGCTCACCTCACCTCACCCCTACTCCCCACACAGCATCTCCCCTCACCTTCTCTTTCCCCCTGAGAGCTCTGGTTTGGAAGACATGCTGAGATTCTTGGGTGGAAATACTTTTTTTTGTTTAGCGGAGGAGAGAAACTCATAGCTCATAATTGCCCTGTGGTTTCTGTTACCTAGGCGTTTAGGCAGGGTTTGTGCAGAGGGCCGGAGTGGGGAAGAAGTCTGAACATATGAAGCTCTGAGGTGTTTCCACCCAAAATCTACATGGTAACTACAGAACCTACATGCCCAGGAGAAGCAGAATAGAAAACTGAAAGGCAGCCTTCCTTACCAGCTCTCTGCCTAGGCCTCCAATGCGTGTGCATGGGGGCGGTGTGGTCCTCAGTAATGAGGCCCAATGCTGGTTCTCAGCCTCCAGCCTCCAGTCAGCCGCCAGTCCTCCTGGGGCCGATCTCGGCGTTCAGGAGCTGTGTGCCTGTTTCTGAGTGGCCTGTCTGGAACCAGCCCTGCCTGCAGACCCGGGGATTGTGATCTGAGGCTCAGCTGGGGGCTGCTGAGCTCAGAGACCGTTTCATTTTCATTCTTCGCAGCCTGGGGGCCTGGCTGTTCCAAGTCCGTTTTAACAGCTCTTTTAACAGCTTTATCAAGGCTTCGCCAAGGGTCTGCTCATCCTTGTCCTTAGAAGGCTGTTCTTACCGCACCCAAATCTTCCTCATAGCTCACCCTCCTGCCTCCTGGGCCTTACTGAAGACTTACTGGGAGCTATAGGCATTTCTGAGAGAGTTTCTGCCACATATAGGATTCTTCTGGTGGGAAATTCGAGCAAGCAGACATCTAAAATGGGGTACTGACTCCTGTGGAGATGAGGACTTTTGTGCCACAGATAACTGCTTACAGTCCCTTTGAGTGCCCCAGCAGTAATGTGGAGCTGAATGGTAAAGGGCTCTTCTCAGCAGGAGCTGCCAGGGATCTTTCTGGAAGGATCTGGTAGCTAATTCAATGGCTGGCACTTAGTGCACAGTCCATGTACTAAGTTGTTTTTATATACTGGGTTTTTTCATCTTCACAGAGGTGAGGTAGGTACTCACAGTATTCTCATTTTAGATGAGGAAATGGTAGCATGTGTAATAATAAAGTTTCTAGAATCAGTGGGAAACAGTGAGGGTTTGGGTATTGGTCTGCTTTGGACACCTCTCTCTGCTCTGTGGCCTGACACCTGGGAAGGGGAACCAATGCAGGGCAGTATGACATGCTGGTAAGGATGCCAACAAAGACCACATCTGACTCTTCCTGTGTATCACTATGCTGTACCCACCCTCTTTCCTCAGATGCTTAGATTAGAGAGGTTGGCAACAGAGCCCCTGGGCAGTGGTATCCTCTGTGCAATGACCCCCCCCCATTCCCCAACATCATACTCTACTTGGTGGCTACCCTAGGGCCCAGACAAGGCTAAGGGACACTGCCACAGAACACAAGGAGCTTGCTTTGGAGTTTGGCTGCCCACATATCCACCACACTCCTCTGTCTTCTGCCCTGTCCTGCAAGGTTCCAGGGCCCTTCAGGCCAGCAGTCAGTCTCAGTGTCCTTTGTCAGCTGCCCTTGCCAAAGGGAAGTGAACCGGGAGATGGTGGGTCATGAAGAGGAGACATACCCCACCATCTCTGCCTCTTTCCAACAACTTACGAGCCACCTGTGGTCCCAGCTGGCCATGGTAGTTCAGGATAGGGCCCACTCTGATGTCACTTACACCCCTCCAGTTACAGGGGTGCGGCCGGCAGTGGTGATAATGTCTGTGCATGCCAGTCTCTGAATGCCACTCCCTCTTTAGGTGCTTGGCAATTCTCTCACTGGTGTCTCCAATGCCCCAAATTACAGTTTTATTTTTTAATACTTGAGACTGTCTTTGTTTGCCTGAATTGATTCTGGATGATTAAAATCCTCTAAACAAGGATACTTAATAGTGTCCCTGTTTCTAACCTGTCTGAGACAGGCTCTCTGGAAGAATAGCATCATGACATCTGACCTTGCAGAGAAGCAACCCCAGAAATGTCAGGTCTGATTGCCTGGCTGAGCACTGGCTTCTCGGGCCAGCCCCCCACTTTACTGAAGACTTCTCCAGCCCCTCACTCCATAGCTTTAAAAGAAAGCAGAGCAGACAGCCTGGGCAGGCTTCCTTCCAGGAGTCAGAAAGCTCTGTGTTGATAGTATACAGAGGGATTAGGGAATCAGCAGGAGGGAATCCCCTGTTTCTCTAGAGTCAGGTCCACATGGTGTGTCCTTCATTCCTGCATGGACGTGATCCTGACAGATCTGCCCTTTCTCTGGCTCCTTCTTGTTCCCAAATGTCTTGTGCCCTTCGCAGCAAGCACCCCCTCTAAGATGCAGATGTCGTCATGGGGGATGGAGGCCATTTTTCTCCTGGAGACAAACACCAGGAGAACCAGGGAGAGGCTGGGATTGGGGCGGGTGAGTTGCGTCCTCTCTGGAGGACGGAACAAGCTCCCTTGCCAAACAGCTCTTTACTGCCCTTTCAGTTCACATGCTTAAAGAAAATAATTACACTCCTCTGCCGAGGCTCACCTGGCTCTCCATTGCTCACTTGGGATGCTTCGTTCCCACTGGAGCATGTGATTGGAAAACAAAGGTAAATGGGAACATTTTTTTTCCTCCATCACCCCCCACCCCCCACAAGCAGGATTAATGCCTGAGCCATAAAGCGTTTACAAACTCTAAAGAAAGATAATAACTTTCCTTCTCACGGCCCAGTCACGAGGAGGTAATGCATGTTTCCAATAAGCTGAAAATGTTACTCAAATAGTAGGTTTTATTTCACTTTAATCCGCCTGTGAGTTCACGTTAAAGGGAAGAGGAATCAGAGCCTTGCAATGTGAACCAAGTTCATTAAAATCAGCATCTCCTCCTTGGGCTTAACTCCTCCCCCAGGTCTTGGCTAGATGGAAGGCCTGGGGCAGCACAGGGTGACTGCAACCCAGAGGCCTTTGGCTGCGAGCAGAGGAAACTGGAACCCACGGATGGAGTAGGAGGCAGGTGTCTCAGCTCCCACTAGTTTCTGGGCAGCAGGGGTAGTGAGGAACCTTCTACACTCAGTGAGGCTTGCTTGCTTCTGACACCTTGTGACTGATGGCAGTCTGGTGGCAGTGCAGTGGGTCGTTGTAGAAATGATTCTCCATCCAGGTCCTCAGCCCTACCAGTCAGTCACTGGGAGGCCTGAAACTGGACCCCTCAACAAAGGCTTCCTTTACACGTTTATGGAGTGACTGCTCTCTTGGTGCCCAGCTGGTCCTCCCTCGATGCCCAGCTGGTGCTCCCTCGATGCCCAGCTGGTGCTCCCTTGATGCCCTGCTGATCCTCCTCCCTTGGTGACCCACTGGTGCTCCCTTGGTAACCCGCTGGCGGGTGCCCTGCTGGTGCTCCCTCTGTGCCCCGCTGGCAGAACTGACTGCTGCTCCTTTGTCTACCCACAAGTATTCTTGCAGGTTAAGGACTGTCCTGTCCAGGCCTCTAGCAGGGTGGCCTCCTGGTACCCTAGGTGGCAGGCTGGCACAGCAAAGTGAGTGTTGCTGGTGCGTGCCTGGGGGTGTGGGCAGAGAGAGGAGATTTGGAGGGTGACTCCTGGCTGCCATTGCTCAGAGCCCTTCTCGGGGTCTCCTGGGGGAGCGGCCCCCTTGCACCTCTATTGGAGGCCGGAAGTGCCGGTGAGAGGGAGCCGTCTCTCCTTCACCATGACAGTCACCAGTCACCATACAAAATCCCCAGACCCAGGTTCCACTTGAGTTAGGGTACGAAGGCTTGAGGGGAAGAGAAAGGAAACACTCATGCCGTGCTCCGTTTGAGGCAGAGAGGGAGTGACAACTATGTCTTGCTCTCCCAGACTCTCTGGTCTTCTTGACCTCACTGGCTGCTTAGCTTCTTCCACTGTGGGCCTCTGACTGAGGGTGTCTGCTTGTGAGGTTTGCCTCAGACCTTTATCACTGCTGGCCTCACATCCTGTCCAGCCCCATTCTGGCCACTGCGGCATCCAACAGCCTTGAGCAGATAGAGAGAGTCAGCTTCGGAAGACTCACATCGGCAGCGAGGCACAGGCTGGTGAGGATTAAACAGCCTCAACAGGCAGGGCAGGGAATGACTTCAGAGTTTCCCGACACTGGCTCTGGGACCGCAGTGCCCGAGGTCCGTCTGATCATAAAGGAGGCAGGTGTGTTTGCAGCATACGTGTACTTGCAATTGAGCCCACAGGACCACATATGCTCAGCTTCTTCCACTGAACTGGCCAATGCTAACTGACCCTCCTGAACACCTACTGTGTGCCACAGACACATTTACATTCAGTGACTCATTTTATTTCTGCAGTGACCCTCACATAGAAGTCACAGGTCCAAAGACCATGGGGCAGTAAGTGAGTAGCATGAATTGTAGCCCAGACAGCTTGAAACTACCTGTGTTGTGTGCATATGGGTGTTTGCGTGTCTGTATGTCCTGTAAGCTTCCATGTGCTCATCCCCACGGTCACACAGGCTGCCCTGCTGGGAGGGGGAGCTTAGGACATTCATAAGAGATGGTTAGAAGGGACCCTGTGTAGGCAAGAGAAGCGACAGTGACGGCAAATCCACAAGCAGGGTCTTGAAGTTAACCTACAGATTCCAGGTGACAGGAGAGTGTCATGGGGCCGTGAATCTAATAGTTCCAGGATTTTTGTTTTTCAAGGGAAGTGAAGTCTAGCAGAGTGTGATGTCTTGAATACCTGGAACAAGCCAGGTGTGGTTGGTGTACACTTGTGACTGAGCACTCGGCATAGGCAGATTCGGAATAGTGAATGCAAGGCTGCTTTGAGACTCACGGTGAGACTTTGTCTAAAAAACAGTAAAACTAAAAAAAGAAGAAGAAGAAGAAGAAGAGAAAGAGGAGGAGGAAGAAATGCTCCTGAGGAGACTTTGTGAAATAAGCCAGATGTTTCCTGGCTCTTCCCCTTCCTGTGTCTGGCCTGTCATCCTCTAGTCTACTTTTCAGTGTGAGGACCTCACAGACACTTCACCCAAAATACACCAACCACACAGTCCCCCATGGAGGAAGTGCGCTGTTCTATCTCATGGACCCTTAGCAGGGGTGGGTTCGCGCCTTCCTGGAGGGGAGAGGATGGAGAGAGGCACTCGGCAGCTGCAGCCTGTTCCAAAAGTTCTTCAGAGGTGCAAGGAGCTACAGCCAGAGACCCTGGTGCCTCCAGCCTTGGGTGGCCATGCAGTCTCTAGGTGTTTCTCAAGCTTTACCTGTGGGCAGCTGCTCTGTAATCACAGACTGGACAGCGCTCGAATCCTCCAGAGATCTGTGCCTGCTTTAGAGTTGGGGGATTTCGAAGCAATCCTGAGCAGTGGACTGCATCAGCCTGAACTACAGGCAGTTCCTCCCTCCAGTGCCAGTAGCGTCCCTTGTTCTACGAACCCAGATCTTCTGATATAAAAGCAGCTTAACACCTCCTCCATCCTCCACAGAATGCTGGAGCTCTTGAGCTCTGGAGCTAGGTCACTGGGGTTCAAGTCAACCCAAGTTCCATGTTTGTGATGAGCCTCAGGATTTGTATATTTTAGCTTCCCTGTCTTTGGCCTCAGGGTGGCTGGCCTTTCTTGAGTGCCTTCTGTGGGCCGCTAAGCGTTTTCCATGACCTGCCTCCTGACATCCTCTCAACTGTTCTGGCAGTTAGGTTATCTACCTGGCTTTCCAGAGGGAGAAATAGAGGGCAAGACAGGCTAAGTCCCTTGCCCAAGGTCACCCAGTTCACACATGACATGGCCTTGGCTAGACAGTTAACCTTCTGAGTCTTATCTTCCTTATTTGTGAACTGTGCTTGAGATCAGTGTCTATCTGGGGAATGGTGAGCATTGAATGGGGGTGACCCCTGGGTCCAGTGCTCAAGGGCTTACTACACTGTGACTTGCTTAGCAGAGGATGCACATAGAGTACGTATCAACTTCAAATCTACCTAATGACAGGGTAAATCTCAAACCCAACCAGAGGAGGGACAAGATATAATCCCAACAGCTGTGATAAAATAATCAAGTCATTTGTTCCTGAATGCTTATCTCTCCTGGGGCCAAGCAAGCTTCTGGAAGGTAGATTTTATTGGCTTTGTTTATTCCTGGATTCTGAGACTTGATATACATTTGGCATGAGGTGGGTGTTTGGTAAAAGCTCATCTAAATGAGAGAGGAACTTTGGGAGTCATTCACCACATGGCCAGCATCCTCCCAGGTAGACCATGCTCTCCTCTGTCTTGTGTCTGTGATCTAAGTTCATATTCTGTTGGAGGAGGGACTTCCTAAGCATAGATGTGAGTAGGTCTTGTCTGGTGTTATTTTCCCTAGGGGGAAGATATTCGGGGCTGGGAAACAGCCCTGAGCCTCATATTGTCTTCCTTGGGCACAAAAGGGTAGGGAACGGTGCGTGACAGAGGTGTCACAGATGCTAGGGTCATGAGTCAGTTTGTGAGCAGTAATGTGCCTTCAGTGTCTGGGTGCCCTTGTGCAGAGTCTGGGCTTATGGTAGTTACCTGAGTTTATAGGATTCTCCTGCCCTTACTTGAATAAACATTATTTCTAAATGGCAAGCAGCTGTTAGCCCTCTGCTCCCTTCTCCCTGAGAAAATTCTGCCATCCTTGCCTGCCTGGCTCCTTAACAACCTCACCTCCATGTCTGATCAGGGAAGATAAGCCCTGGCAGGCATCTTACTCCAAGTGGGACAACTCGGTTGACTTCTGACACAACCTTGCTCTCTAAACATGTAATTAGTTCTGAAAGAGCTCACTTCTGCAGGAAACAGTCTTTTCCTGAAGACCTTTGCCCTCTGGTCAGCCAGGGCCTTGGTCCAGAAGTGACAGAGGATGGGAGAAGAGAGGAGGGAGAAAAGGAAGAGGAGGGGAAAGGAGGGAGGGGAGAAGAAATATCCGAGCAGTCCCAGTCTCTAGCTCCCCTCCCGGAAGCCTTGAGCTCTGCCGTGCAGCCTTTCTAGAAACGAAAACTCCTACCGACTTTCCCAATTTCCTCTCACACCTCTCCCAGGTTTCCCGCCCCCAGCTCCACATGACAACATGGCGTACATGTGGCCCATCTGGGACTCAGGGAATCCTACTGGGTGTGCCAGCTTAATGAAATACTTTCAGTTTATTAAACACAGGCTTCCCTAAGCCCTGAGTGCCTGTGGGTATTTGAAAGCTGAAGGTAACCCTGAGCTACCACAAATGTCATTTCTCCACGCGTCCTTGCATTCCTGCCCCAACCCCATGCTTCTGCTCTTAAGCAGCCTGTGAAATGAGCAACATAAAGTGACTCCTAGCCAGACAAAGGAGGAAATGGGGTGGGGGTGATGATGGGAGAGGCTCCCCGGAACCTCTCAGGGCCTCTAAAAGTATATGAAGTTCCCATAGTTCCCATTACCCAGAGCCACGGAGGGCACTTCTCCACCCCTGGGTGGCTCAAAGTTTACAGGATCAGTTCCCTGCCAGTGGGGCGGCCAGCAGGCCTTGCATGTCAACTTTGTGTGTCAACCTCACATGACATAGTTCAAATATTTCAAACCCTGTTGTAGCAAGACTTGCTCTCAGCCAGCAGGGCGGGCAGGGTGCAGTGTCTGGGGGTTCCCTCTGGAGCTTTATTTCTGTTGCTCCTCCAGGGCTTGGCTGGGAACAGCTGTCTGAGTCTGGGAGGAGCCCTGGGGAGACCCCGAGGGATCATGAGTTGCCTCCCCACAAACAGGAGGAGTCTCCTTCATAAGAACGCTTTCCCATTCATCCGTCTCCTGGGCCTTGGGTCTGTAAATCAGGGGTGACGAGCTGAAATGGAAGTAGCAGACAAAGGCCTCGAGGGAGGAGCCCCCGTCTCTGCGGACTACCATCTGGATGCCAGAGAAGGAGATTCTGCTGACAGCACCGAGGGCCACCTGCTCCAGGTACCTCAGTGGCAGCCCGTTGACCCACACACAGCTCTTGCGAGACAACACCTGAAGGCAGAAGGCTAGCAGGTTGCTGCCTTTCTCTAGGTAGGGCTCCAAGGACAGATGGTGTCGGGACAGCTGGGGCAGCTGCAGCTGGATGTGGGCGTCCTGCCCGCGTCCCACCAGCAGCCGACTGGTATCATGCTGCAGCCGCAGTGGGACTTTGGCAAAGGTGACCAGGCCTGGTGTGGGGTGGTACAGGCTCACTTGCAGGACTGTGAGGGCCCTCTCCATAGATGAGATCCTGGGGAAAATGTGACAAAGATATACACACTTCTGTGGTTTTCTAAGCCTAGATAGGCTACTCACTGCAGAGGCCCTGGGGCTACATCTTGTCAATGAGGACCATGTCTAAATGGATACAGTCATTCTGCCCAAGCCAGGATGGAGTGGAGGTTGACATTAGTATTGGAACTCCATCTCTTCACACTCCGACAGGACATGTTGCCCATCCTCTCTGAGCTGTACTTTTTTGTAATAAAGGTGTGCCTATTCTTCTAGGCAAGGGATAAATCTTACCAGCTTACAGGGCAGAGCCTGATGGTCTGCAGGCCATTTGGAGACAGTTTGCCTCTGCTTTACAGGAACAGAAAAACAGTCACAAGAGGCTTGCTTGTATCTGGCAGGCACGAACAAACAAACCCTCGCAGAGCCCTCCTCTGAGCCAGATGTCAATCCAGGTGCTGTGGTAAAGCAGAAGGAGACAGGCCTTCATTTTTGGGGGTACCCTTCTTGAGGGGGAAAATATGCTGCTTTCAGATGTGGAGGTATAGAGCAACATAAAAGGGTCCTGAACACAGCAGACACCTTCTCAGTGCTTCCCATGGGCCAGGCACCATGTCTCCTGAACATCTGGCAGAAGGTGGTCCTGGTGGAGACAGTGGGCAGAGGGAAAAGCTAGCTCACTGGAGAACCATCAGAGGCTCCAGGAACTGAAATAAGGTCCCACAGCTCTTCTTCCAGGAACTCATCCTTCGGTACCTGATGGACACACATGAGAAGGCCCATCCCATGGTGTGCTTTGTTCCTGTCTGGCTTTGGAGAACAGACTCTGCCACGTCTACACACCCCACATGACCCTGGATTTGCCGCTGATTTCAACAGGAACCAAGGGCTGAGTGGGACTCAACAGTAATTTTATACTTTCCCTAGCACCTGGCTAGAGAACTACTGGCCTGCATTTTTTTTTTCTGCTAAGAATGTTTGTTCCATCCTAGATTGTGTGTGAAAACATTGCTCATCTCTCAAGGCCCAGTTCAAATGCTTTCTTCTCTGGGGAAGGTGACCTTGTCTGTGTCCTCTAACATCAATCACAAGGGTACTTGGCCAACCCCTACTCCCCGACATTTGCATTTCCACCCCTAGAGTTCTGCAGGCTCTTGTCTCCCTAAGGTCCTCCGGTGGCAGAGTGTGACCCACCATATAGTCCAAATAGCACGTGGCCACAGCAAATGTCTAGGAGCACATCTGCCAGGAAAGAGGAGACATCACATATAATGGATGATACTCGATCAACTATGAATGGAAGCTTGGTTCTTAAAGTCTGTGGGATAGGGAGCCTGGGCTAGATTGCCAACCTCTTGTCCTGTTGCTTTTTGAATGTAGTATGTCAGTGGGGATCTAGTTGACAATGGGGCCTAGGTCCCCGAGGATACTCTTTCCCTAGCAGGTGGACAGACACACCTCTGGCCACTGCCTTCTGACCCCGAAGGACACCTCTTCCTGAGGCAGGGTGCAGGCTGAGCCCAGGATTGAGGGCTGGGCACCAGTGCTGTCAGGCTTGGTGAGAGTGCATGCCCATCCCTTAGAGACCAATGCCATGGCCCAAGGATATTGACAGTAAGCATGGCTCTGTGAGACTTCTGTCTGTGCTGCTACTGAGCAGTAAACCTGGCAGAAGCTTGCTCTCTGCCACAGTGGCACGTCTGCAGAGGCTGACCTGTTTGTGTCAGATCCCGGTGGTCCTTGGAGAACAGAAACCTAGACCTGTTAATGCCTACCATGACTGACACACAGAAAGAGGCTGGCTCTGGCCAGGAGTCCTTCTCTTAGCCCCAGCAGGCCTCCCTGGGGGTCCCAGTCCCTCTGACCTCCACCTACCTTACCGCCGAGGTACATCTCTGCAGCTGTGTGTTCTCTCTGCAGGGAAGGGCCTGGGCGAGCACACGTCAGTTCTACCGCTCTTCCTTTTCCCTCCAGGAAAGAAACGAAAATGTCATTTTCCATTGCAGAAGTGGAACCCACTGCCAGAGTTGTGAAACTGGTACCCCTCTGGGAGGGGCCTCTTGACAGCAGGGTTTCCTGGGTCTCAGTGCGCCCAGCCTCTCTTATTCCAGCTCTGGAGAGCACAGTGTTGAACGTCTTCCTCTCCCCTCTGAAGGCAAGGGCTGCTGGGCAGGGAGCTCATAATCTAGGAGCTTTCAAAGGTCAGGGGTTGGTTAAGGAAGTCGTAGGTAATAGTGACTCTCCGGAGTATCTCAGGACTCTCCAGGGTATCTCAGGACAGAGCGAGACACAGGCGAAGGGAGAGCATGCCCACTCATGGGACTAGGCCTCTTTCAGCACAAGGAGAAGGCCATCTGTTCATTTTGTTCCATTTCCCCCTTTAGAATAACATCTAAGACGCTGTACTTCTTAATAAACTTGCTTGGTGGAAGACACAACTTGTGCAAGACCTCCTGAGCCCACTGTCCTCCCTTCTTTATTTCCTGATCCCTGGTCCTTTCTCCTAGGACCCTGTCACTGAAGAATGACTTGCTGGTTCAGGTCAATGAAACAAGAATGACGACACTTTAAAATGGGCTTCATATATATGTTCTATATACTTAAACTATGTACATATTCATGTATATATTATTAAAGTCTGGATAGGTGGGAGGGTTACATATAATTACAGTGTTCCAAATTCCTCTCAATTGTCCAAGATACAGAGACATGAACTGAACGTAGACATAATAATCTAAGGAAGCATGGTCTAATTTCCTATATAACCAGTAATAGAAGAAGACTGTCTCCATGACAAGCTAATAGATGGAGAATGGAATAAAAAGTTACAATGAAGGCTTGCATATGCTTGGAAAGGCCGGTAGAATAAGAGGACATCTATGCAGGAGGGACCAGGACAGCTCGATCCTGGCTTGCCGTTGGGTAGGGAGAATGGGAGAGCCCCTGGCATGCATCGCTCTCCCTGAGCAGAGACTCACTCATTGCAAGAAGACATGCTTTGGACCCTCCAGTACAGCGCCTCAGAGACTTGCTCAAGGGAGCTCTGGGGAGCTCCATGGCTACTCCTGAGTCTTTCCTGCCTATCCCTAGAGTCGGTGCTGAAATGACTGACTCCAAGGCTCAGAGTTGACTTCCAGGATCACACAGTGAATCTGCAGCACAGCCAGGTGAGGACCCAGGGGGAATGATCCCCGGGCTCTAAGACCAGGCCACAGTGCAATCCCTTGCTTGCTGGGCCATAGAGTCCCTCTAGGTCATGCTCTGGGAACAATCTTTGGGGTTCAGAAAGAGTGGGGCTCCTGCTCCATCATCAGTGAATCAGGATAGGTGGGAAGGAACCAGACTGCCTCTCAGAGCACCGGATGACTGGAAACAGGGCGTTTTGGTAGGTGTTAAGCCCAGTGAATGTAGCTTTAGTACCTTCAACTGCCCTTTCCTCAGCCCTCCCCCAACTTCCTGTGCCCTAGGTCCTCCTGGCATTGAAAAAAGAGGAGTAAAACACTCATGTCACTGCAAAAACTCTCCTGACAATTCTTGGTGACTGCCTGGCTGTCTCTTCAGGGAGCTTAGGGTGGCAATAGTAACCCAAGAGTGGCTCTGAGGATGTGGCAGGCATGCTAATTGCCTGGGGAGGGTGAGAAGCCGTGTAGGTTGAAAAGCTAGATTGGACGTCAGGCTTATTGCTAGGGTTGTGTCCCATTCAGCGAAAACAGCCACAGTCCCTGGTGGATGGATAGATGACCAGAAGCTCAAGAGCCATGGGAAGGTGCCTCAAAGGCTGCACACGCACAGCAGGGCCAGTCTGCTGGGCCACACACAGGCTCACCTGCTGCAGTCTTTGCCTACATAGATCTCAAGAGCTTGAAGACAAGCAAGCCTCTCTTTCTGCATGAAAGAGCCTCCTCCTCAGAGTTCTCCATGTCTACTGGCCCTCTAGTTTACATGATACCCCAGTGATGCTCAGATATGCCTTTCCATCTGCAGACCAGGGCCTGGAATGCGCCTTCGCCCACTCCTGAGCTTCTTCTCTGGAGATGGACATACCCTGCTACAGTCATGTCTAGAAAAGTGTGTGGGCACGAGACAGTCCCTGCGGGGTAGAAACTGGGGTTAAGAACACTTCCCATTAAGAAAGGGAAGTGAAACACTCAGGGCATTCATCTGACAAGAGGAAGTTCCGCCCAGGTTCCATCTTCTGGACATAACGGGAACTCTCCGGATTTCTGGGGCTGGTGTGGAGAGAATGCTTACTGTCAGCTTCTTAGGTGGAAGGTGGGAGCCAAAGTGAGCAGGAAAAGAGAGCCAGGAAATGGAGGCACAGCCTCCTGGCCTTGCTGGGAAGGTTCCCTTTGATTGGCCTTGCCTACAACGCCTACCTATAACACCTCTGACTGGCTGTTGGGCATCTGGCGTTGGACTCTAAGGAGCGTTGTTTCAGTGAGATATGCCCCCATACAAGCCAGTTGGGGAGCCCAGAAACAAAGCAACCACTTCCTCAGGCCTTCCCCTCAGGCTCCCATGACCAGGCATGCTCATTCATGTAACAGTGGTGGGACCTGGAGTCGGGGATCCTGTCTGAACCTCAGTTTCCTGCTCTCTCAGCCATGGGTAATTGGCTGCAGTTGGGAGCGCTAAACACGTGCAAAGTGCCAGGCCAGTGAGATCTGCTGACTCAGCCTTGGCGGAACCTTTGCTTGAAGACCCAGAATACACCCCGAGAAGAGGGCTATCAGGACAGACTGACACACGCAAACCTTACATTCTCAAAAAGCCCCAATTTGTGATTAAAACAAGATAGGAGTTAAATACCCACCATGTGGGAGCTTGGTTCCCACACCACATGGGTTCCATTTTAATCACAATGAGGTAAATGCAGCATGCCAGAAAGTCTCTGCCTCCTTGCTGGGAAACGGTCCCTGCTACCCATCTTATAGATGCAGAAGCTGAGGCTGAAGCAGTCAGGTCACTTGCTCAAGGTCATATACCTGGGTGGCATCAGACCACACTAGAGCTTGGTCTCTGAGGCTCCTGGACCTTTTCAAGCTGCTCCTTGCACTCAGGTGTTCCCTGGAATTCAGCTGCTGGCCAGCTAGCCACTCGGCTAAGGATGCCTGTTTCCAGCTCCCCAGCCCACTTGGATGCCCCTGATGTTCTTGTCTTGAGGACCTTTAACCAGTGACCTGCTTTTCAAAGCTGAAAAGGAAGAACAGACAAAAAGCTTAGGAGAGCCATCCCTCTGATGGCGAATGTCCTCGTCTGGCTTCTGTGGCTGTGAGAGGGAAAGGGGATGGAAACGTTTTTGTCTTATCTTACTTTCCCAGGTAACAGTCCATCCCTGAAGCGTGGACAATGGAGGAACACCACTGACTGGCTTGCTCTCCATGGCTTGCTCAGCTACCTTTCCAAAACAACCTAGGACCACCTTCCCAGGAGTGGCACGGCCCAGTGGGCTGGGCCCTCCCACATCAATCATTAGTAAAGAAAATGCCCCCACATGCTGTGGGATAGTTGTGCACTGTGTGAAGACGCGTTGCTGTGATCGGTGTAATAAACAGCTGAATGGCCAATAGCTAGGCAGGAGGTGTAGGTGGCCAAGAGAGAACTCTGGGAAGAAGAAAGGAAGAGTCTCCAGACAGACACAGAGGGAGAGCAGGACGTGCAGTATGGGGATGAGGCAATGAGCATGTGACAGATGAAGATTAAAAAATATGGGTTAATTTAAGTTATAAGAACTAGTTAGGGAAAAGCCTAAGCTAAGGCCACACTTTCATTATTAATAAGTCCATGTTGTTATTTGTGAGCCGGTGACCTGAAAAGAAAGTCAAACTGCACCCACAGACTTGCCTACTTCCCAATCTAATGGGAGGCAATCCTTCAGTTGGGGGGTTCCCTCTTTCCAGATGACTCTAGTTCCTGTCAAGTTGACAAAAAAAATAATCAATGCAGGGAGAGAGTCTGGTTTCTTTGACTCCAGGTGTCAAGGGGGATCGAGTACAGAGATAAAGCAGGGCCCAGAAGAAGGCCATGTGGAGCAGTGGTCAGAGATGCAGGAGGGAACAGGGAACAGGAATAGGCCGGTAACAGTGGAATAAGATGACCTGGGGGAAGATGTAGCCAGGACTTGGCCCTGACCACCCCCCACCCCTTGCGCCCCACCCCTCGCCCACTGTGGGGCTGAGCATGGCTGCTCTAGGCTTTAGACAATACTCCCTGCCCCTGCCAGCTCTCAGGGAAGGGTAAGTGCTTGTGACTCACGGTGATCAAATACATGAAAGGAGATGGGATGAGAGGAAAGTCTGTTTCGGCAGTTCTGTTAAATTTCAGCCTGTGGTCATCAGGCTCCATTGCTTTTAGGTCTGGGGCAAGGCAGAATCATCGGGACCATGATGGAAGGGTGTGGTAGATAAGGGAGGTGGGAGAGGGAGGGAGGAAGAGCTAAGGATAGGATATGCTCTTCAAAGCATGCCTACTTCCTACCACCTCCTCCAGCTAGGCCCCACTTTCTGAGAACCCAGTCGCATTAACCCATCGATGAGGTTACACCCTCATGGTCCAGTCGCCTGTCACTGCTGCCATCATCTAGGGATCACGATGACTGATGAGCCTGTGGGAGACTCTTCATATTTAAACGAACAGCCACCAGGAGGTATCCTGGAGGAGATGTGCCTGTGCCTGTGGTAATGAGTTGGTGAATTTCTGGGTGTCGGGTGGGCCTGGTAGAAAGACAGTGAGAGGCAGGCTCCTGTTCTGTAACTGACTCTGCTTTGCCCTGTCCTCTGCCCTTACCTAACAATTATCATGGCATATTTGAATTTCACTAAAACACATGATTCCTTACTAACGACCATGTCTCGGCTCAATCCTCCCAGCAGAGGCAGGTCCCACTGTTTATTCATCTTTGTTGCAAATGAGAAACTGAGGCACAGCTGAGGAGGCATCCTACTCTGGATCTTCTACATGTTACACAGCAGAGCTGTCTCTCAAATCCAGATCTAATCTCCAAATCTTTACCCTCAACTCCTGTACTCTAAGTCA